AACGGGATTCTTAGGATAAAACTGAATTTACTGGCTGCTACACATCTTCGTATCTGATCATTGATGTAGAAATCCTATCCACGCAAATTTCTTATAAACTTCTCTTATATTGTTTCCGTAAAGAAGTGCAACTTCTGCATGTCTGTCATGGCTTTACTTTCTCTTTCTCCCACTTCTCCAATGTTGTTTCATCCGGCTTCATATTGAACCTACTTAAAACTGAGCCTCATGCAACTTAGAACTAGACTCGTCAACGACAAAGCATTAAAGCATCCTTGGAATGTAGAGGAGCAAAGATCATAGCTCAAAAAATCAAAGATATATGTCCTACCTGACCCAAATCTATCCAAGCACCAACACATCGTAAAAAGCGAAATTCATTGTAAATTTGCTATTGCTACTCTTTGAAAGGCGGCTTTCGTTCAAGTTCCTCACTTGTCAAATGACAGATTTTCAATGGACTTTCAGATTTCCTCTCAGCTTTCCTGTCGCGCAGAGCGAATCTTTTATTATGTTGTTTGAGTTTGTAAATGCCTTCTGCTTTGTTTCGCCAGATTTTCTTTTGCTAGCGACGAAGGTCGTCACTTTTAACAAAAAAAGTTATCAAGATCAAGTTTACAATGTCGGCAGTTCTCCTCCTTGCAAATTCTGACATACACAAGGCCCTACATTTTATATCCTTTGTAAAATCCTTAGAGTGGTTTTTTAAGGATTTTTAGGATTTTTCTCATCAATGATGAATAAAAAGTAGTGCATTTTGCAGATCTAGACCGTAGAGTCTTTACTTACTTCTTCTTCACTGCTTGAAGTTCTTTCTATCTTTAATCAATAAATAGCATGTTTTGCAAATCTAGGCCTTAGTGTCCTTACTTACTTCGTCTTAAATGCCTAGAATTTCTTTCATCATTGATGAATAAAGAGAAGCGTATTTTGTAGATTACAAAGTTAGTTTCAGTACCTGAGACATATCGGAAAATCTAGAAGAAGTTTACTTCTTCTTGTACTCTGTGAAGCTAGTTTTTTAAGTTCTGCCTCCGGTGCCCCGAAAAATCTGAGAAAGAGTTTGATTTATTAGCGGGAGACTTACTTGAGATGAATGCTATAAAGTTCCTCCATCTTTCTCTCTGTCTCTCTCTCTCTTTCTCTCTATTACTACACACTTCCTTGGCTGCCTACCAGAAGGATATTTCCATTTGCCAGCAATTTATAGAGCATTTATTTGGCCAAATTTAGTATATTTTCCGCTTTTGATGGTTACAAAAAAAAAAAATAAATAATAATAATAATAATAATAATGTCAAGCACGTAAAGCTCTTCACTGTTAATAGTAATGTTTTGCGTGCATATACATACGTACGATTCGCTATATAATTTGTGGTAAAAATGGTCATTAAATTTTTACATAAACATAAACAGAAAGCAAAGACAGCGTGACTAAGCTCCCACACACTGATTCTTTATTGATGAGTCTCGCGAATCTTCATACATAAACAACATACAAATATATATGTATTGTAGTTATAAATATGCGTACGTACATATATACATAATAAGGATGGTTTTGTAGTTCATCGATTGACATTATTTAGTGGCAAAATTTATACTGTTGTCATGTTTCAAGTTTTTCAATACATTAAAATTAACACACATACATTTATATATGCTTTTTTTTTTTTACTTTATAAAATAAGGAATAAATGATGCAGCAAGTTTTTGAAATGAATAATTTTTTTCTGAAAACTTTCGAAATTCAATCGATAAGCAGAAGATAGATTGTTGTCTTTGAATTTTTTCATTTATAACCTAAATAATATACAGATTTTTCCTGAAGGACCCCGCTTCGAGCATATGTTATTATCACAAACAGGTCAATTCTTTCGCCTGCTAAGCCTAAAGGTTTTGTTTTAATTTAGTTAGACAGCCTGGAACAAGAGTATAGGTAGAAATATAAATAATACAGAATATAAGAAATAAAGTCAAGATCCAGATGTGTTTATACATTATAAAAGGCCTTTTATATATAAAAGCTCTTTAAATCTGCTCGGGCTAATAATCATTTCGATTTGGACGGATGGCGAGATCGGCAGCTTTAAAGCGTCAAAAAGAATAGGCTTTATGATGTTCAGTCCGTCTTGTCAGGTAGGATAAGATTCATGGTCCGCTGGCTTGGCTTTATGATGTTCAGTACCGTTTGTCAGGTGGAACTAGATTCATGACATTATTCATGGTCCGCTCAGATTTCGTGAATTGAATCTTCTCAGGTAAATATGTTAGTATTCAGGTCACTGTAAGATTGTGGAGAAAAACAAGATTTCTGTTAGGTCGGAAATTCGGATCGCAGTTTTTTTACAGTTGAACAAGAAAACACTCGAACAGGCTTTTGTTTTCCGTTACGATGAAGTGCGCATCGCGAGATATTTCAATTATGTAAATGATAAGTTTTTGCATAATAGGTGTATAAACAAATTCCTTCCGGTTTTTGATGAAATTCAACTTTAAATGAAGTAGCGCAGCTACAAAACTTAATAATCGAAATAGGCGTCACCATTATATATAATCTGTTGCCATTTATTGGGTAGGTTTTGGATGCCCACGCGGTAGCAACTTGACGGATTGGAGTGCAAATAGCCATCGACAAATTTTCGTGCATTTTCAGTTTCTGTGAAGCCAGTCTTATGTAACATAAGATGCCTGCGATCCTAATATCGTATCTTTTGTGGTCTCTTGGCACCACTTTTTTGTAACATAATTGTATGAAATTTGTCTATATGTCTAAATCGTTTTACGTAATACGACAAAATTATGTAAGTCAAGACGGTCTAAAGGTCGAGGCCAACTCTTGAGGGTATAGCGGGTGCGGTAAAACTTCTCAGCCTAAGCTGAACATTATTCTCTTGGCGGTTTTTGAGATAGACGTACGGACGTATACGAATAGACAACATTTTATTAACTTATACACCTAATAGAAACAATCGAGCCAATAGTAAACAAAAAGCATTCACAAGAAAGCTAAAAATCTTTGCACAAAATATGCCGCAAACCTATCGTAGTTGTGCAATCACCGACTACCATAAGAAATTGCCAATTTTGCATGTAATGCAACCATTGTTAGGGAAACATTATTTTGATGAAATATTTAGACAACTTGCAACAGCTTTCGAAGAGTGTAGCATTTCAATATAAAATAGTGCATCAACAAATCGCGCTCTAACGACAAAAAAAAAAAAAAAAAAAAAAAAAAAGATACAAATGAACATGGCGCCTCTCTAAGCTGACTGTACAGACTATAATATAATTAGCTTGTTTTAATACTTGCTGTATTGCGTTGAATAAGTAAAGATTACCAAATTAAAAGGTTCCCTCTTTACCACATAGTTCCTAAGGGGAAAGATTAAATTAACGAGATATTAAGTGTATACGGTTTGAAATGAATGTAACAACGCTAGTAGCTTGTGCATAATATTTCACCAAACAATATCCGTCATATGATTCGTATATACTTTGAGGCTCAAGTTATCTTTTTCTTTTGGCAATTAAGGGAATGGGGATTTTGATCCATTTCAAATTATTTTTATTTTAACTGACCCTAAAAGAGCAATACCAGCAAAAAATTGAAGCAAAGTTTGTCTTTCGAAGAAGAAATCAAAACATAATCGTATATTAAAGGAGGGTGAATAACTAATCGACAAATATAGATTCGTTCCGCTGTTTACGCTGATAGTTATACATGCTGCATGCAACACATATCTATATATATATCAATAATCTAGACATATGTATATACCGTGCCTACCTACATCTACACATATACTGGTGGACAGAAAAATAGGCGCTTGTTGTTTTATGTTGCGGGAGGTTATTTTTTTCAATTTTCCTCTTATTATATATATGATGTTTATCGTTTATTTATAAAGTAGGAACTTTTCCGCATTTACGAATGCTTTTTGAAGCTATGTTAAGTGTAAACAAAAACTTAAAAGAAGTTAACAATTTTATAGCAATCATTTCAGGCAGTCAATAGCCAGTATAACTACTATTGTTTTTAGGGGTAACGTTGATTTTTGCAGGGGAACATGATATTGATTATCGCAGGTCTTCACTGAGATATTATGCCATACTTTCTGAATATTTTTCCACAATTCTTTTTCTTACAGGAAACAATTTGGCCATCTACAAACATTCTCAACAGGATTGGGGCCGAGAGGATGACCTGGCCTTTTAATGACATTCAAAATATGTTTTAAGAACCGCACTTTCGCCAATTGATTAAATGTTAATGTAGATCATTATCTTCCTGAAATTTTCATAACAGTGGCTTATTTTCTTTCTTTCTTTCTTTCTTTCCAAGTTTTTATGTGCAAACCTCTCCATAGCGTCTTCTGGGATGTATCAGATTTTTGAAAAGGGGGTTGTCTGATCTGCGCCATTTTACGTTCATGGTTGGATGACAATACGCGAGTGTATCAAATTCCATGAAAATGTCTTAGAAGTAGCGATTTGTGGGTTGAACACAAATGGACAGACAAGCGTGGACCGACTCAGAATCACATTCCAAATTGATCAATGTACTGAGAAGGTTCGTCTATTTCAAGCTCTTTTAAGTGCTATGCGTATCGGTGCGAACTTGATATTCGCTGTACAAGATGTGATTTAGGTTACAACAAAGACACTTTTTCAGGTATGTGTGATAGGATAAATTCCGATGTAGCCATTTCAAACTAATGACATTGCTGAAGACATTTAAAGCAACTTTTTTCGTTGTTCCTTAGTTTCAAAATATAAGAGGCATAGGCATAATTTGCTGCTGGGTTTCTCGCTGAACTGTGCGATTACATTTTGTAGACTTTATAAAGTTATAAGCATTTAGAAGAAAATGTAATTATAAAAGATATGGATTTACACTATTCCGCACACTATTTAGCACTTTGTCATCATCAATCAAACACGACTGTGTTGTTAAACCGTAATGTGCAAAAAAAGAATTGAACAAGTTCACTTACCCTTTTAATTCGCTAAAGTCTGGCGCAATGAAAACGGAACGTCATCGAACGCAATACACCAATTAAAGCCTTTCAATTTTCCATTGATTTCAACACAAAACTTAGCTATCAGTTCTGTGTATTTTATTAAAAAAAAAAACAAAAACAAAAAATAACAAAAACAAAAACGACGACGTTATTGTGTGTTGTGCAAAATCAATTTGTCGCCGGTTACAAAAATAAAAAGCATCACAAGGAAGTTGTATTATTAGCTCGCTCGCCTCTATGTCAGATTAATGTTACAAACACTCTTATGTGTTTGAATGTGTTCTCATATTTAAATTGCGCTTTTTAAATACATTCTTCCCTTTTTCCATCAAAGAATATCTTACATACTTTATTACTTATTTATTTGTATGTTGTGTGTTTCTTCTGGTGTTCGTAATTTTTTTTTTGACGTAAAATAGCAAAAACAACAAGTATTAAAAGCACACACAAACTGATTGCAAAATATTTGAAAATTTAATTTATTTTCACTTTTCCTTTTGAGTATGCTTGGCGTGATAATTTTAATTATCTGTAATTAAGTTATAACCATTGCAGACAAAAACCAACAACACTAAACACGTACAACGGCCCGCAAATTAATCCATTCAATAAAAATCTTTTAATGACTGAAATCAACTGTTTTATCATAAGTTTATGCCAGAATATGTCACCAGGGTTACCCCACTTCGCTGAATGTCATATTGAAATGCTCGTGGTATGGATTTAAGAACAACAGTTCAAAGGACTGGTCAGAAAAATTTGATTCTTTTTAAAATTCAATAAATACTTGCTTTATTTAAAATCTCTTGTAGGAAATTAATTTAAAAAAAAAACTTCTCGGCAGAACATATACTAAAATTACAACGATGCAGACAAGACTAACAGGATCCTTGCGCACGGATAACATGTAAAATCAAGCGCTTCACATGTTTCATTCACACTACTTGCATATTAATTGTATTCGTATTCCACCCGTATCTGCAATCAGCAGTTGCTCTATCGCAATACACCAACAGGTCTTTAAGAAATCTACTCATATAATTTGCCATTGTCGACAATCTCTTACGATTAAGTATATACTTTGCAAGTATAGAAAATTTTTTCAAAATTTGAAGTCTTACTCCCGGAGTCCTATGGACTTTTTAAAAGCACTTGTCTCTCCGTCTGTGTGTGTGCGTGGTATGTATTCTTTGCCTACTCCTGGTCGCAAAAATGAAGATATAGAGATCAAATTTTGTAGAGGCAGTGGAAGTTTCTGCACCCAGTTTGGTATTGAAAATGGGCCATATCGATCAGAGCAGAAACCCGCAGAGGAGCATAAACTGCTTAACAAATACCTGTAGGTTTTTGCTCGTTACTCCGAAATTATAAAAGCCAACAGACTAAAATTTTCCACACTTACTTTACGAAACACTGCGCTCCTTACTTGTAAAAATGGGAAAAATCGATCGTGCGAATGGTGCAAGTGATTAAATTGTCTTTTTTTCACTTTTTCTGAGGGTTCACGACCCAAGCATGATAAAACTATTTTGTATATTCCTCAAATGAAGATATATTATCTGCCTAAAAATGGGTTAATTCTAAAATGAATATGATAGACATTAGGGCCTGCTGCGTTAATGTTTTCAAAATAATACTAGCGATATGGGTGTCAAGTATCCGAGATTCGATTCCCGCCGAATATAACTTTCTTACTTGTTTTTTTTTTTTGGTATTTAAAAGGAAAGGAAACTTCGAAAGCCAAAATGATTGTAGGATCTTCGTCCACTAAAATCTTGTCGCAAGTTTGATAGAGCAGCTCCTTGCAACCATTAACTATTACGTCGAAAAGTGTCCGATCTAGCTGTGAAAACAATAGCCAAAGGAATTGGCAAGAAAAATTTAAACGCATTACTAAAAGGAAAATGGTTCCTACTGGAAGTGTCTGCTGTTTTGCGAGTAAAGCTCCTTTGAAGATGGTTGAGTAAGTGAAATGAAGTTCATTTTCGTGGGCAGCAAAGTGGCGAATTGATCGGGGAAGCACAGACAAGAACTCAATTCAAAGAAATTCGCTGAGGGTTGCATAGAAGAAGCATTCAGAAGATAAAATGTTTGAGCAATACGTTAGGGAAAGCCTAAGAATCTTGAATTCATACATATAAAGACGTTTATTAAACAATTCAAATTAAGTCAACTTAAACCTCTTCCTCTTCACTACTCTTTTTCGAACTGCCCTCTTAAGCGAAAAATCAAAAAATTAATTTACCCTTGGGAACATCAAGAAAAGATTTATTATAACTCTTCATTAAATTAAACGTACCGTCAAATATCTACGCACTTTATGTAGATGAGTTGTCTTAGTAGCTGTAATGCAAGGTTGTATCTAGCTTTTGTTAGAATCGATTCTAACCTTTTTCGAGCACTGCTAATATGATGTCTTATTTTGATAAGTCGTTATATAAAAAAATAGTGTAATTTTTAGAATTTCGAAACAAAAATCGCTTAGTAACAATATCTTAATTGATGTGAGAAATATGAATTGATTCAATCAGTTTTTTCACATCCTTATCATATAAGCTTTCGCTTATCGATTGGGCACTACAGCCACGAGGCAGCAACCATCACTTCCGTACTTCGTTCTTTTTCTGACAGTCACCGTGTTACACCAATGGAGGCCAGACCATGAATAATAAATAAACAAAGATTTTTATTCTGTACACAATTTTGAGACATTTGGTTCACTTTGTAATAATGTGGTGGATAAGAACCACGATCGAAATTATTGCACAATTATTTTGGATTTCTTTTCGCGATTTTTTTTTTTTTTAATAAAAAACAACTACTCATTCAATAAATTGACTTTATTCATTAGATATTTGATACCATTATACTTGTGATCATCGTTTATCAATTCAGTTATTTGTTTGCTAAAACTCTTTACCAACGGATTTTTACGCCTTTTGTTTTTCTATTATAAAGAGTATATGTTGAAAAGGAGAAGGAAAGGGGTTGAGTACGTATCCTTTTTAACATTGAAGACAATTTCATTTTATTATTTTTTTATTTTCTTTTTCTTTTTTTGTTATTCATAGAAATTAATTTAGTAATTTTGTTAGTATTGCTTAAAAAGTTATTTATTCTGATACAAAAAACAAAAAAAAAAAGAACAACGTGTGAAATAGTTTTTTTATTTCTTTTTAGTATTTAAGAACTCTTATAGAACACATTACTAGAACAATTTCAATTTATTGCAGTATATTGCGAACATGGGTGTCTGTATGTGTGTGTATGTGTATGTATTGTTACAGTAAGAATTTTATATAGTTACGCAATATGCGTATTATGCGATTCGTTAGAGATCCTTGACATAACGAAAGAGTTCCGCCATTTGATCTTTTTCTTTTATGTACATACGCATGCGCTGTTTTTTCCTTGTGTTTATATAATTAATATTGATGCCTTTATGTTACGGAACTTGAAGGCTGAGCTAATTTTTTATTTGTTTTAATTTTCTATGAACGGAATCGCAAAATGCCAAAGGAAGTATATGGTTACTAGAAAAACGGCCATCACTAACAGGAAAAAAAAAAAAATAAATAAATAATACATAATAATTTATTAAACAAAAATAATAAAGCGATTTGTAATAAATTTCATATATATGCATATAAATATATTTATAATTTTCATTACTTTTTGCTTAGATTCAATTAAATATAAATTTGCCTAAACTTAGCGAAATGATATGAGTAAATTAAATAAAACAGATTTTTGTTTCTTTTTTTTTTTTTTGTTTAAATAAAATTAACTCTAATAAATTCTTTACGTAAACAACCACATTTTATCTAAAAAAAAAAAATAAAAAGTATACATATATGTATGAAGCACATCGTCACTTAAGATGGTAAACTAAAAATTATGAAAAATTGCTTTAAAAAATTCACATTAGATATGTTTTTCATTTCTTTTGCCGTTTTTTTTTTTTTTCTTTTTGTTTCTTGGCGCACAGTACTGTATACCAGTGACTGCCATAATATGCATAATTATAAAATTGAAATAATAAACTAAAATATGCAAACATGAGTACTTAGATATCTTATGAATATATATATATAGATGTACTGTAGAATACAATATCTATTTATTTATTTATTTTTTTTTATTATAAATTTGAACTAAATTGCATTAGGCTGCGAGTGTATGTATTATAAAGAACAATTAAATGATGATCGATAACGATAATCATTCATTTAACATCTCTTATTTATGTAGAGCTTTTAGTTATCGATGACGCGCTTTTTATATCTTTATCCATTTCTTTTCTTTTCTTTTCAAATAAATACAAGCAGGCTTTAAAAATATATTAATAGTATAAATATAATACATAATGTTAGCAATTAATTTAGTAAATCGGAGAGAATTATTTGCTTTAATTATATAACCCCCGAGAAACAACATTTACGTATACATGTAGAAACAATAAATTAGAAACAAATCAAGTCTTATAAGAGAATATTCTGTTTTTCATTTTTTTTTTTTTTTTTTTTTTGGTTTCGTTTCAACTATGTATATATATCTCTATGTATGTGTATATATGTACAACAACAAAAATTACCGAGAAGAAAGAGAGCGAGAGAGAGAGATAGGGATAGGATTACATATGTTAAGAAAACACAAAAATATGGCAGAAGAGAATTTCAAAATATACATATGTGTGCACAGCCTTTTTAACTTCAATCAACAATCCATGTCAAAATCCAATAACTACGTGCAAAAGGACAACAACCTTAGACCGCTTTTTTTTCTCTTTCTTTCTCTTAATTAATCCATTATACGTAGGTACCAAATTGCTTTTGACCGCGTTGCTATAATATAATTTCTGTAGAACGTCTTTCTTGAGCAGCAAATAGAAGAGGATCGCAACTGAAAGAATCGGGTGCAACTGGCGAAAATTTCGATGTACGCTTTACTCGACTACTGCTCGGAGCGGAAGCGGTTGTTGTGATTACAGTTCCGCCGTTACTGCCACACATTGTACTTACCGCCAGCGATTGTACGGAGGGAAATTGCTGCGAACCAGTGGCTGAGGTTGCCGGAAACATACCCACTGCCGATTGAGACGGGAATTTGGCAATCGTTACAATTGACGTTAACGTAGCTGAAGAACTGTCGTTACTGCCATGACTTAACTCTAGCCGCGTTTGGTTGAGCGATTGCGGAGGTGATAAGGTTTGCTCTCGCAAGTGCTTTCGTTGCGGTTTCCATGATTTGGATTCCATAGAAGCTTCGTGCAGCGTAGCCGATTGGCGTATTGTTTGCTGCAATAAAGCATTTACATCAATAGCTGGCCACGTAACCAGCGAAACACTTCGTCATAAGTATGAACCGACCGAAGTATCTTCGTGTTTGTGACGATGATGTTTGCTATAATGTTTGCATGGTTTATGACTTTTTCTTGTTATATTGCTCGCTTCCATGGCCGGTTCAGTAACCTCGACAGTCGGTGGCAAACTTATAGTTGGCTTCCTGGTTGGCGTTGCCGTTGGAGTTGGTTGGGATGGCTGAGTACTTGAGGACAGTGAAAAATATTCGGCGGATTGACTCTGTGATGAAGTGTCTTCCGTTAAGGGATTGCTTACACTACGCATGGTTAAATCACAATCTTCGGCTAATGGCGTGGTTACTAATGAGGAAGGATTTGTGAGAGGTGTTAAAGTACTTGAATGTTGGTCTTCTAAATCGGCTGAACACATTCTCGCCGAAAATGACGTATTGGTTATCTCTCGGGCAGTACACATCTGACCTGGGGTGGAATCTCCACAGCTGCAACTACAGTAACAACAACTGGTCGAGTTGCATGAACAAAAGCTAGCAGTAATGCTGCTACGCCGACTGCTGCGCGCCGAACTATCCGTCGTTGTTTCGTGCACAAGCGGCTTACCCTGTAAATCTCTCTGCATTTCGTGAGCAGCGTTTGGAACAGAATCATCCACTTCATCAGCACTAGAAGTGGTTGAAGCATATTGCGCATGGCAGTGATGGCAATCGGCTGATACCACAAAAGCTCGTGAATGTGGATCTGATGAAGTGAAACTTTGACGACCATCACGCCCCCATTCATCTATACTACTGCAACTGCTTGTCCGTACCTGTGTGCACGAACAACTCGAGCAACGTGAACAACTGCTACAATAATCCTCCGCAGTAGGAGCAATAAAGCGTTTTCGTTTAATTTTTACTCGTTCATTCTGAACCACTGATATTCGCGTTTCGTTCTTCTTCACGCAATGACACCGATTATAATGCTGACAGCAGTAGGATCCATTGCTTTGGCCCATTTCTTCATTAGATAGTTCATCGGTTTCGATAGTCGTACTCGAATTGAGAGAAGACTTTCTACCTAAGCGTTTTGCATTGTCACT